TTTCAATCTACTCTTTATCATTCTGAAAAATAAGGGGAGATTTCCTACTACTGTTCATCTGCCTCTTCCTTTTTCCCTCAGTCTCTTGCCCCCTACCCTCCTTCCCACCCCTCACCCGCATGCAAAAGAAAGTCAGGACAACGTACAACCGCTGTGTGACAGCAGCTGAGCAGATGTCCCTCGACAGAAGCATTTACAAGGATACTCGAATCCCTCTGGCAAACAGGAACCAACAGTGCTTCGGAATAAATAGATGTGACGACCAGATGTGGATACCGATTCCTACCCCAGCAATTTCTTTCCTGCATCCTCAAGATTTATCACAATAGGATTTTTTCGAGATGGAAATTATTTTAAGATCGTGAGTAAAAAGTATACCTACTCAATAACGTTTTGTAGCAAATGGGAAATTTTATGAATTTCAATATTTTAAAGGGTAATGACGTCACAAGGTGAATTCATTATTTCATTATTTAACTCGATTTTGTGATGTTATGATCGGAAAATTCAGTTAGTTCTATTAGTTCTTCGGAATAAATAGATTTAATGGCCATATGTGGACAGCAATTTCTTCCCTGTATCCTCAAGATTTATCACAATAGGATTTTTTCGAGATGAAAATTATTTTAAAATCGTGAGTAAGAAGTTGATCTATTCAATAACGTTTTGCAGCAAATGGGGAATTTTATGAATTTCAATATTTTAAGGGGTAATGACGTCACAAGGTGAATTCATTATTTCATTATTTCACTCAGATTTTGTGACGTTATGATCGGAAAATTTACCCCGGAAAATTCAATTAGTTCTATTAGTTCTCCGGAACAAATAGATTTGACGGCCATATGTGGACAGAAATTTCTTCCCTGGATCCTCAAGATTTATCACAATAGGATTTTTTCAAGGTGAAAATTATTCTAAGATCATGACTAAGAAGTAGATCTATATAACGTTTTGCAGAAAATGGGGAATTTTATAAATTTTGATATTTCAAAGGCTAATGACGTCACAAGGTCTGACGAGTGACAGTTCCCAATTTTTATCTTTCTATATAACTTATTCTATTGGAATATTTTCAGTGGAAATGAATTGGGATAAACTTGAATGTTTTTACTGCATTTTTTTCTTCTCCGATTGAAAAATTTAATGATTACAATAACTCTATCGGGAAGTTAAACAAAGAAATTTGGAAAATTTAACCTGAAGAATTTCTTTACAAAAAATCTCAACGCAATAAATTATACAGAGGAATGAAATTCTATTGAATATTTAAATAAAAAACGCGTGGAATTGCTGTCGAATTTTCCATTAGAATCGATTAAGAAATAGCGGAGATATAAAATAAGTCCAATTGAAATTCAATAAATATCTGTAATGAGTTAAAAAATCATGAATTATCGCAAAGAAACTTTCAGCTAATTCTAAGCAGTAGTTTCCCTACATGAGTTACCTGTCAACCATTAACAAATGGACTTTGAAACACTTAACAGAATTGGTTTCTCAACTGTGAATGGATCCTACCAATGTGGGGAGAATGAAAGACTGACCTCCATGCGCGTTTCCCATCTCCTTGATCAATTTGAGATGAATTCTACATGATTTTCTTTCATTGCTGTATCCAACAATCGAATGAAGAGTAACACAAACTTACTTTCAATAACTAATTCACGATCACTAATTTATAGTTACAGATATTTTAATATAGATGTCTCCTCGATTTTCCCAATATCTTTTAGCGTAAAGAAAATACGTATCTATTACTTCGCATAAAATTTCCGTATTCCATCGTTCAATTTAATGAATAAAGTCACGCAACAATACAGTTGACGATGAAGGGAACCTCTTCATCTCAGAGTTGACTATCTCCCTGGAATATCAGAATCCTCTCCATCAAGTTCTTCCCATTTTGAAGAACAACAGACATTTTTATTCATTTCAATGACTACTTCATGATCAGCATTTTATAGTTATAGACATCGTGATACAGAATCCATTGGTCATAACCCCTCGATTTTCCGTTATTATTCACCCAAAAAAATACGTATCCATTATTTCCCACAAAATGCCCCCACTCCATCGTTCAATTCAATGAATAAAATAACACAACAATCCAGTTAATGATGAGAGATTCCCTTCATCTCAAACTCGGACATTTCCGTGAAACATCGGACTCCTCTCCGACAAGTTTTTCCCATTTTTAAACTCAACTCTCAGCACATTTTTTCCCGATCTCTTGGCCTGATTCCCCAAGCAAATCGTACCTTGCCCCCCTTTTTATTTCTTATCTCAACCCATTCGTCTCCGCCAAAAATATCTCAAGCATCGAACCCCGATTTATCCAATTTTTTACCTCCGAAATATCGAATGGATGCATCAAAAATAAATCAGCAAGACAAAACTCGTTGAATTGTTCCCTCTCCCCGTGAAGTTGAATACCCCTCCTCGCCCATAAAAATAACTTTTCTCATTTTATCTCCTCTATCTCCAGTGTTCCAGAAACGTTGTCTATTGGATTTGAAATTTGCATCGGCCATGCCGTTGAAAAATTTAATACCCGGAAATAGGCAATGTAGTGCTTACAAAAGAGGTGGAATATTCTACTCAAAAGTGAAATAAGGGTGCATTGAGGCGGTTCATGCCAATAGAGAAAAACCGAGAGAGCCTCTCCACCCCGTAGCACGCAAACGCAAGACTCGAATTACCCTGCTGTACAGGAACGAGACACAATGTTCGAAAGAGCCCAAAACAAATGGCCATTTATTTTTACCCAACTCGTTCGATGCGATGCGATAGAGCCAGCGTCAATGACTCCTCGATGAAATTTGTTTATCAATGAGGCCAGTCAACCCATTCACCGAGAATCAATAACAAAAGCACCAGACAAAATTGTAGGAGCAAGGTCGTTAGACTATCGTATCGATTCACAAATTGATAAGAGAAAAAATACTCCTAGACATGCGACTGCTGCACAGCGCGATTCACTATTCCAGTAAAATCGATGTTCGACGTTTTTCGGAAATAATTGAGACCAGGACGAAGAGGAGTAGGGGAGGGTGGGGCAATGTGGACAGCAGATTTAAATAATGAGTTGAATTGGATCTAATCTATTGCTCCGACTTCATTTCAGTAGCGAAGCGGTAAAACGGGTTAAGTAGATTTTGACTTTTGGCCAGTTTTTTTATGAATATCTCGGAATCTAAGAGAGATAAGAAAATTTTTCTCATGACCTTTTTTATAACCCTCAGTTGACTCTACAAAAAAGGTTATGACAAAAATTTTTCTATCTCTTTTAGATTCCGAGATATTCGTCAAAAACTGGCCAATCGTCACAATCGACTTAACTCGCTTTACCGCTTCACTAAATGGACACATTGTCATTAGACTGCGTCGTAGGAGGTGCAATTTTTTATGTTTTAACAATATTATTGAATTTCTGAGACACTAGTGATGACTGTGATTTTCAAATTGAACAAAAATAAGTGGAAAACTGCTCTTGAATTGTATGATAGTATAATTATTTTTGCTAATAAATTAGCAATATGCTTCGGAATGATTATTTTGCACGGCATTTCCTTCTACCATGTAGAATTCATTGTTTATTTAATGTTATCAAATTGAATAAGATTTCGTTTCACCTAATTTTGTCAAATTTTTAAATTAGTTGAATGTTATCAGCATGATTATTGTTATTATATCTTTTCTTCTTTACAACAACCGATTGTCTTATTCAGAGTTCTATAAAATGTTAATAGAAAATATTATTCACACATACTTGAATGAATTTGAAATTCATGAAAAATTCAAAATTTTCGAATAAATCAAAATAACGTTTATTGCTATCGCCTTCATCTTCAAATTCGGTCAAAGGGACATCCAAACAATTTTGTTAAGCCCTCATTCAATCAATTCAGATGATTTTTTCAGCTATCGTGGGGCAACCGATTACGGAAAAAATTAAAAAATTAAAAAACTAATCGCCGAATTGAATTCTTTCGCAAATTTTTTGCATGTACTTTTCACCCCAAATATCCATATTGCCCCACCCTCCCCTGTCAAATCGTCAATAACTCCTGACCAAACAGTGCGATTTGTACGAGCGAGGACTCACTTCAAAGTTAAAAAAAAAACCTTTAAAATGAAAACAAAATTTCGAAATTTCACCCCGTCATTCTCGAGCTTCAATTCGTCAAAAAATTATCGACGAACCGTCAACATTAGCCCCATAAAAACGCAAGAATATCCATTATAATTATGAATATTCAATTCCCGAGGCATAATTCCACAAGTAAAAGCCTGCACGAGCCAAACGCAAAGAAAACAAGACAAAACCCCTAAAATTGCTACCCGTAGAAAATGACAACCCTCATTCCGCCCCCACGAGAGAGGGTGTTGGTAAGATGATGACAGTAGTCTCGCATTGCTCATAATATCCAGTGTCACGAGACCATAAAAAGAAATAGTGAAAATTCCTTGCTGTACAGATAACATTTTTCCGTATACGTGTATACCACCCATGTATATCGATCCCCCCCATGTCGAAGTGTACAGTGTTCATGTGAAAGAAAAGAGTGAGATAGAATAGCAACACCGAGCGCCACCGCGCTCTGTCCTTCTCGAGGGAGCGGCGCTCAACGGAGAGGGCTTGTGTGTAGCTTGTTGTTACGGATTACCCCTGGGATGATCCTATCCCCACCACCGCGACTATTCCCGATGCATCGTACGCGAGAGTAAGATGCGGAGAGCGTCTTCGTATGGCAAAATACTCGGTCACAGGGAAATAAATAAAAAATGCGCGGAATTGCCGACCCTGAATTGCCCCAGTGGTGCAATAATCGAATCGCAGAATTGCGGAATGTTTTCTTTACTCTCGATCCTAGTGCACGGGCCGTTCATTCAGGATTCGAGGATCCTTATTTGTTTTCACTCGCAATATTGCAGTTGCACGACGACAATTGGCGCCAATTATAGGGCCTTTATCGGGTAATTGGGGGGATGACACTCACCTTTGCTTGTTTTCAGTGAGAAATCCAAATATTTGAACAACACGATTATTGTGACACTCTCGAGTTTCCGAAGATCACAGAACGGAGCCCGGAGCTCAACTCTCGGCGACTACACCGGCCACTCTGTATATGCGCGATGGGGATTTTGTTGTAGATGGCGGCATGGCAGCGGGTGTTTTTCGCTCCGGCCAATGGGGCTGCAGTTCCGGTATCAGCCATTTTTTGAGTCGGGGGTTTACTGCGCACGGTTGTGAGGAATTCCTAGTGTAGATGGGTGATATGGGGAATTACTGGGTAGGTATTGACCATTTGAGTTTGCATTATTTTCTTTTGTGCGGGGGATTGTAGATATGAATATTCTGGCGGGAGTCATTGATCACATTGCTCTCATCGGTTCGCGGAGAATTCTTTGGGTGGAGAAATTACGGTTCAATTGCTGGAAATTTTGGAGGAAGGGACGCTTCGCGTGCCTAAAACGTCCCTTTTCCACACATTGTGATGAAAACTATCATTCGATACTCGTGGGAAAAGTGTCTTTTGGCTCGTGGGAGATTTATAGCACGAGCCGAAGGCTCGTTACGAGTGCAAAAAACTCTTTTCCGCACTCGTAACGAAATATACTATTTTGTCATTGGGCCCGAAAACCGCAATTTTAACTTTACTTCACTCGGTTGAATCGCTGTTTATCGCGCCTAGTGACAAAAAGACTATATTACGATGCAAGTGAAAAATTAGTATATTTTGATACGAGTGCGTAAAAGTGTTTTTAAGACGCGGGAGGTGTGTAACGCTCCCACGTGTTGAAAAACACTTTTACGCACTCGTCGAAGACGAGTACTACCCTCGCAAGGATCAAAGAACACTTTTCCCACGAGTCTCGAACCATCTTTTTCATCACAATGTAGGAAAAGTGAGATTTTACAGACGCGTGCGTAAAATTTCCCTTTACGCAAATTCTAATTCTCTTGGAATTCTTTAATGCCTAAAGGAGGTTAGGCGGTGTTTGAGGTGAATTTGAGAGTGAATTTCTGTGGTTCCCGGTAGCTTAGTCGGTAAGAGTGCCCGGCGCGTATCTGGGAGACCCGGGTTCGTTTCCCGGCTGGATGAAGCGGAAATTTTTTCTCTCTAAATTCTAATTCTTAGAATTTTTTTTTTTTTCATTTTTTTTTCCCACTTATTCTGTGCCTAAATAGTATATTTTGCGTCGAGTGCATCGGGGGTTTTCGACGAGTGTGAAGTTGACACGCCGAGCCGAAGTCGAGGTCTGTAATCACTCTCGTTAGGAAGTACATTTTTTTCATATATATTGTATATTTTTTAATACTGGTGAGAACAAGACGGTTCTTTGCGCGCGAGGCGTGCAAAAAATGCCATTTTCTCACTCGGATCATAAAAAACATTCACAACTGGTTTGATATTTCCGGTATGAACTCTGGATAGATTTCAATACTGCAGTTGCGATAAAATTGCGGAGTCTAGGCGTCTCCCCTGGTTGAAAAATCATCCTTAACTAGGCTCACGGTATTAATTCCCTCTAGTCTCCATGGGAAGGACTATGCAGTGGGCTTGAGTTTCTGAGGCCATTGGAGGGGAATAAATATGTATGAGCCACTGCATGCGGAAGAGCGGAAGTCACCGGAAGCTGACGAGATTGCGCAATTTTATCTTTTTAATTCCCCTCTTTCTTTATTTCTAGTTTCGGTATTTATTTTTAGAGGAAGGTAAAGCTTGATGAGAGTTTGTAGAACACAGATGCTTGCATTTTCGTATATTTGGGCTTGTGCCCAAAAAATGAGGTTTCTAATTGTTTAAATCACTTCAATTATTTATTTATTAACAACGGATGTTTAAAAAATTGATAATTCTATGCAAAACGTAAGTTTGATGACGCTGGATATTCATGAAATTTTTCTCGCACATTTTAATTGGCAAATTTGATGATTGAAAATGGTTAAATTTATAGCGTGGTCCGTACCAAACGGTAAAACATACTTGGATATCCTCAAGGTAAACCAATAAAAATAGGTCGACACAGGTGTTGATACCCCTAGGGTGGAGATCCCCTTGTTTCAACGCACAAGAAAACCCTCTCAACTTTTCAAGACAGATCCTCTTGTTCTGCTGATTGGGTCACTTCATTTCACGTCCCTGAATGAAGAAATTATCACTAAACAATGCAGAACCTCCAGAACATTCCCGCCAAAATAAATCGTACTCATGTTTATCCCAGTTTCTCTATGTATTTTCAACAAAAATTAAAGTGATTATTCGATAATATGGATTGATAATATTTCTTTCAATAATATAATAATCATAATAGTCATCCCTCAGTCATTTTAACGGGAATAATGCACTAACACGTTTGAACTCATAAGTCATAAATTTGCATCTCGTTAAATAAAAAAAAATAATAATAAACAAGATTGACACACCTATTCTCCACTTCACCATTCACTCTGCACTTCCTTTAATCTGATATCAGGATGTGTGTACGCGTGCGTTTTCTCTACCTCTGTCCATAAATTCATGTGACTAGTTCTTTTAAAAACTTTACATTTTTCATTTTATTTTTTTTCAAAATAATAACTAACATATGTATCTCAACTCATTATTCATATTTACATATGTATATTACTTTTCATTTCAATGTTATATAAAACTTTTCTCACTTTCACTATGAAAAAACATTTTCTCTACCTGGAATGATAATTCTGAAGGACGAAACGGGGCATATCTACTACTTACGATTGAAAAAAAACGTGTTATAAATTGATGTCGAATTTTTTGAAAAATTAAATGAATACTTTGTTACTAATGAAGGCTCATTGAGGAAGTTTCTTTAAAAAATTTGCGTATCAATTGTGTCGAGATAAGGCCACTAGTGGATGATACGAATACAGTACAAACATTCGGACGATGACAGTGTCATAATCATAAATAGCTCTGAACCACTGACATCGTGTCCTTTAAGAGGAAAAAAACATAAAGTACTATTTACTTCGTAGAAAAGAGGATAAAATCACGCAACACATCTCTGCAAAGCTCTCTCTCTATTCAAATTTTTGTCACTTGTTCTCTCGCAATGGAGAGAGAATTCACTCGCTTTATTGTCACAGGCTTGTGCTGCCAAATATCATAGCGAGAGTATTATCTTCGAGGAAAGTTCTGTGTTTCTTCTGTGTACAAGCATAATTTATATCGAACGCTAGCGAATTCACTGGAAAATTCTGTTGAATTTTTTCTTGGGTTTTGGCTGATTCTGCTCAAAAATTCTGCAGCAGAAATTGTTCAATAAAGAACATTTTATAAAAAAATCAATAGAATCGGATTTTTCTGTGTAACTCATTCTATTGAAATATTTTTTGTACAAATTCCCCGGCTGAAGTTTCTCTTTTTATTGTGTTTGATTTTTTTAAATAGAAAATAATGAAAAATAGAGTGGAAATTTAGAAAATTCATGTCGAGAAATTTATATAAAATATAGAAAAAGTTGTATGGAACGACGAAATTCTAGTGATTTTTTCTATAAAATAGCTTCTATTGGAAATTTTCTATAAACAAACGCAGTAAAGCTGTGGAATTCCTCAATAGAAGTTGAATAGAAATCCAACCGAATTTTCTATCGAACTCACTAGGCTTCTCCATCAAATTTTTTCGTACGTTTTGCTACTTCAACTCAGTTATTCGCAAAAGCCAACACTTCAGGCGCAAAAATCTCTGCATTTCTCTCGATAATACGAATCTAAAAAAATGTACGACACGCACTTTCAGAGGATAGTCTTCAGTTACATGAAAAAAAAATCAGTGTAGGATTGTTAATTCGAAATGTTCATCTGAGATCTCTCGTTGCTCACGAAAATGACGAAAAAACAGTATTAAAAGACAATTACACGTAGGTGTGAGCAATTAATTTGCCTATGATTGGAAATTATTTGAAATATCCAAATATTCTTGGCTAACATACTACTGTAATCATCTTAGTATGTGGTGAATAAAACCAGTCCAGGCACTCTAGTCCACAGCCAGATTGCTATCTGGCTCAAATTGTATGTTACAATGTTGATTCGTGAATTACAGCTGTGTCTGGATCACTGTGGGCATTGTGAATTATCGCTGACGGTTGACTTGGTGTCAGCGTTATTGAGGACGTCTTTCTTACTGGTTTTGGCGAGGCCTAGAATAACAAAAACAAATATTAATAACTGTACGGCAAACTGTGGATGAATAGAGAGAATTATTTGCTCATATCTAACAATAATTAATTTTCACATCACGTCAACAATAAAATCTGTCTATTAAATTTCCTGAGAATTGCTTTTTTTACATTTTCTTCGTTTAAATGAATAACAAAAATTGTTTAAATTTTTGAAAATCTTTTTTTTTTCATAAAATCATTTGATAAAATTCTGAATTTGGATAAATTTGTGGTGGTAAAAAAAGATTGGGCGTTGAATTCACTGTTTATAAATTATTCATAAGGTGCGTATTCTTCAAAATTGCGATTTTTCAATTATTTTGCACAATTATTTTTATTATTTACAAGAATAATCAAAGTATTTGGAAAAACTTAAAGACATGAACGATTTTCAATAGTGATATTTCTTCACAGCGCCATGAAATCATACATAAAATCCTTTAACCGTTCGGTATTAAAAATTCAACCTGGAGTTGAAAGTTTCTTAAACATGTCACCTCCATAAAAGAATGAATACCATAAAAATCCTCTAAAAAGAAAAGAAAAAAAAATGCCAAAGCACTATAATTCACCCCCCATTACCCAACTCACCCATTCTCTCCTAGACGGTGCTTCATCATCAGAATAATGATCAATCTCGCCAGTCTCATCTCCAATTTCCGTAGCGACGTGCCTCTTACCGGGCTGCAGAGTAGCATAATTACGACATCCACGATTAAAATTATTAAGATTTTTCTCCTCAACAATTTTCTCCTGGCAGAGTACCTCCTGCGACTTGCTCTGCTTGTTATTCGTAATAACTCCACTACTATTTTTATTGTTGAAATAAAAAGGGGGCATCCTGGACACCCAGTGGTCGATGCCAGACCCTGTGGAACTGGTGGAAGCAGCAGAGGAATTGCCAGCGGAATTGCTGCTCCTTCTCTGATAAAACAGCATGTAGGCAGCATTTGTAATTAAATTCGTGTCATTGACAGCCTCAACTCTGGTGTCATCGAAGCAGTACCACTGAGTGTCGTAAGGATTCCTGCAGAAGGCAGTGTAGTGTCCACCCTGTAAGTCCTGCCCATGATGATTGCAGATGGCATAAAGATCGTAAACATTCTCATCGTATTTGGGAATATTGTGATGACGAGTTCGAGGTTTTTTCCAGGGAGACCAGCCCAGTGCCCCCAGTGTTGTGACATTTGTGTGATTAGGTTGGACCCCACCATGCGCCAGATGAGGTGTCATATCGAAACCATAAAGGGGAAAGTCCACGAGCATTGTCAGCTTGGATGTTGATCTTTGCTTTGCGGTCTGCTGACGAAATCTCTTGAGATGAATCACCAGGATGTCGGGCAATGACCACAATCCCAGCTTTTTTACAACCTGACGAATAAAAAAAATCGTTAGCATTGAAAAATACTAGGTGGGGCAAAGTGGAATGTGTGTCATTTACTTAAAATCCCAATGTCTTTGTTCATAAACTAAGATGTCAGGAAATAAAGTAGATGGCGAACGGTCTATTGTCTCACTCTCCCCTAGATTATATCCATTTAATAATAATATCTTAATATACGCAATGTTAACATTGATATTGGGCGATGTTGGAAAAAAATTGCTGGGAATTGAGTAGTAATTTTCAGGAGACAGAAAATGAATTCGATTTAGGGGAGAAGAATGATTGAATTTCATATTTTATTGACAATTCAAGAATAGAAAATGGATAAACATTTAAAAAATACTAGGGATAGTGGGGCAAAGCGGAATTTTTACAATCGACTTTGAATCTCAATTTCTGTTTATAAACAAAGATATTAAAAAATAGAGGAGAGATTGCAAACGTTTCACTTTGTCTCAATCTCCCCTAAATTATTCATCTAATAATATCTTGATGTAAGCAAAATATAAAATTGATATTGCGCGATGTTAAAGAAAAATTTAAATTTCATGGACAGTTGAGTAGTATTTTTCAGGAGGCAGAAATTGAATTCGATTTAGGGGAAAAAATCATTAAATTTCAGATTTAATTGGAAATTCAACAAAATTCAGAATTCTTGAACAACAAAAAGGTGACAATTTCCCAACTTCCTGAAATTTTTAATCAAAACACGAATATTCACTATCAAATGACGCTGAATTTCCCTTATTTCTATCAATCTTCATACAATAATTGAACTAAAATATAAAGTTCTCATCAATTCTCTCATTAAATTGTGAATTTTCAATGACAAAATTCCTTGACATTCCAGTGGAAGTACAACAAAAATTTCCAAAAAATGTGCCGGAAATTTCATCTAACAATTCCTTAAAATTTCTAATTTGTAACTTCCTTTTATCCCTACTGGATTTTTCATGCATCTCACATCATAAATAACAAACTTCTATCTACCTCCTGCTTTCTATTGCAGTAGGGACAGTGCCAGGCATCCTCAGCCCCCAGAATCTCCTCCCTCGTGTATAAATCAAAGCATTCCTCCAGAGTAACAGTCCCCCCCAACTCAGCATTAGTCTTCAGTTGTTTGACACTTGCGTGCTCCTCGATCTGATCAGAGTCGTCCTGAATTATGTTGGATTTGGTCGCCTCGTCCCACTCGAGGATAAGCTTGACGTGCTGGGGACCAGAGTCGTCAGCACAGAGGGCTAATGCCTGCTCTATCTGCTCAGTGTAGAGTGGGTGCTCGACACAGGGGTCGATGCAAGGATGCTCGTCCTGGATTGGGGTTGCAGCGGGGTCTGCTACCCTGATGTTGAACAGACCAGGCGTCTGACTCGAGGTCAAAACGTCTTCTGAGAGGGTTGTGTGCATTTCTTTAAGGAGAAGCTTCTGGAGGTCCTCGTAGGATGTTTCTCGGGACACCTGCATCGTGTAGGGACTTCCAAATCTCTCTCGTAAGTCACCTTTCACCAGGACGTTCACCCATACCAGGAGGATGTAGGCCTGCTCTGTGGGCTCTTTCAGCTGGGGGAGCTCTACACAGTAGAGGGGGTCGTTCTCAGTTATTACTGAGAGGGGTTGACAATCCGAAAAGGTTCTGGAAAGGAATGAGAATAGTTTCTTTTAATAGTAGAACAGAACCGCGCGCAAAATTAGTGGTTGATTGTATTTGTTAGTCTTTCATTTATTTTTGAAAATAGTAGAAGTGATAATAATCGTCTATCATGACTTGTTACAGCTGGAATTGTATTATTTCACGATCATAATTGTCTCATGTCACAACATAGTTAGATTGCTCCATAAAGTATTTAGAACAGAGTGCAGAGCAGAGTCCGTTCATTAGCAAATCCTCAATGGATAATCTTTGCTGAAGATCCTAGATTATGCAAATCTTTTCTTTTTCTCTTTAAAAAAATATATTTTTTAACTGTGTATATTATTATGAATGAAAAATATAATCAGAAAATATATTTTTTCGAAGGAATATATAAAAATATTTGTATAATCCAGGATCTTAAGCAGAGACTATCCATCTTCCTAGGCTTAAGGATATCCCTGGCGAAGTAGATTGCTGACAAAGAAGTTAACACCAATGTTTTTATAAAGGATCATCTGTTTTCGTTTAGCGATATTTGAGGGGAATCATTAGGGGAGGGTGGGGCCAAGTGGACACTTGACTTTTTTCTAATTTAGGTTATAACTCAGAAGCAAAGTCATTAATTCAGCTCAGTCTAAGGTCGCAAAGAGGAAGAATTGTGAGAAACATTATAAAAAAAATTGTCCCATTTCAGTGGAAATTAAATTAGTTGTTAACATTTCAGAGAAAATGTCTTGGAGTTTTTCAGGGGGAAAGTCGACTTTCGGAAAAATCGAATTTTTTCGCCAAGTGAAGGCTGATTCTGTATCTACTAACGATTTTGATGCTAATGAAACACTCGGAGGCGCCAGAAATGCAGAAATAAAAATTTTTTTTTCACCCGGGGCCTAAGTGTCAGATCTTTGATTTTTCCCGGGGGAAAGTCGACTTTCGCCAAAATCGAATTTTTTCGACGAGTGAATGTTGATTCCGTATTTATTGAGCCCTCTAATGCCAATGAAACCCTCGGAGGCGCCAGAAATGTCGAAATAAAAAAAAAAATTTTCATCCGGGGCCAAAGTGTCAGATCTTGGATTTTTTCGGGTGGAAAGTCGACTTTCGCCAAAATCGAATTTTTTCGTCAAGTGAATGTTGATTCTATGTTTATTGGCCCCTCTAATGCCAATGAAACCCTCGGAAGCGCCAGAAATGTCGAAATAAAAAATTTTCTTTTTCACCCGGGGCCAAAGTGTCAAAAGTGAAGTGTAATTTTAGCTCCACGTATCCCTACGCAACTAAATTCCTAAATTTAAGGATATGCTACTTGAATTTCGGAAGTCCTTGAATTTCTCAATTAATTTGAATATGAAACTTTTGTCAATAGTCAGTGTAATTGAAATTACATTTTCCAAAAAATTACTTTTTTTTCAACATCCACTTCTCATAAATAAATTGAGTTAAAGTTCAAAATCAATGTCATCATCACCTGTAGTTTCTTGCAATGACGAAATACCACTGAAAATTCTTTCCAATGCATTCTCCAAGTCCCAATTTTTATCTGATTTCAATGTCATTGGGCTCATTTTGTTCATTCGAACATTCTCTTCTGAGTCATCAGTCGACTTTCTAATTCTTTTGTGGTTCCATTTATTCTAATATTTTTCCAAGAAAACTTGCCCTAATTAACTAAAATTTAATTAAGAGAATCCTCAGTCAAGTATCGGAATAAATAAAAATAATTTACCGATCAATTTGAAATACCAAAAAAGTGGCGTATCTGTGTATCATCACCATTTGCCAACAATACCTCTAGATATGAAGTATTTAGTCGATATTCACGACCGAATATCGACTACATAAATTTATTCTGACGATGTATTTAGCTAATAGGGCTTGATGCGACCGGCTCTCATCACCCAAGCAAATCGTCAGGTAGTTTAATGAAGAATATTCCCATCGAATGAATTCCGGAAAATAAAAATAAAGACTTGGATATAAAAAAATAACAATTAATCACCTCAATCGATCATTTGAAATTATATTGCACTCGACTGTTCTCCACCCATCCATTTAATTACTTTAATAATCCCGAAAAGGCCCCCTGGGACTCCAACCAGGCGTGGCCACGACATTAAAATGAGCAAAAAGTATCACGTTTTCATTCATTACCTGTGAAAACCTTCATCATGTACTTCTGTCAACAGCATGTGACTCTCCTCAATGCCGGTATCACTCGCCAGTATCTCCCGAAGTTCTTTAATATTCGCAGCTTGATTCACACTGACCCCAATTCTCACTTGTCGAGGCTGTTGCGAGGTGTACAAAACATTAACAAAAAGATTCATTTGCCTCTGCTGCTGTGGCACTGGTATAGAGACACACAAGAACGGATCAAATGTGTTTGATTGTCGATTACACCTGGGGCAAGTCAGACTCGATCTAAATTGCGCCTGGAACACCTCGTGGACGAAGGAGTGATTGCAGCGCACATGATTAGCCAGTGTTTCAGCTGCCACAATGTCATCTGGGCGTCCAAATGAGTTCTGCAATAGAGAATATTTTTTGTATGAATAATTTTTCCTTTTTTAACTTCCCGACCCAAAGGGAGGAAGTTATTGTAATGACACCGAAAATCAAAAGTGGAAATTTAATGATATCTCCACGGTTCATGACTCCTCTAATCTTTTTATGACGTTTTTCAACACATCGTTAGCTGTGTCCTCAGTCAAAAAGTTTCGAATTTTAAACTTGTCTCCATATAGTTACTTCTCGTTTCTCACTTTCAGGAGAATTTTTGTATTTTGGCACTTACGTTACTCTGTTATGAAGCTAACGACATGTCTGTGTGAAGAATACTATTTCCCTTGAACGAACAGCGAAATTTGATTTTTTTGTCTTCAATTGATGCATCTTCATGTAATTTAGAACTGATTAGTTTGTGAAGACGATCGCCTCAACGGTTCTTTAGTAATTTATAAAAAACATGTAAAAAAACATAATTTTTGATTTTTTTCCCCATAATCTACTATTTCTTACAGAGTAATGATGCGATTTGTTTTTTTTTTTTCAATCGATGTGTGTTAATGTAACTTAGAACTAATAGTTTATGAAGATGATCGTTTCAGCAGTTCGTCAGTTGTTCGCGTAAAGCGTATGAAAAAAAAAAATTTTAAATGATTTTTTTGTTTTTTGAAAATTCATAGATTTTACAGAGAATAATGATGAGGACGTCTTTGGGCTCGTCGTCAGCGTGCTGGCCCTATAAACCAAAGCGTCCCAGTAGCGCAGGTTCGAGTCCCGGTGATGAAAGATTTTTTCATCGCCGGAAAACGAACCCAGTGCATGTGGAGTTAGTTATGTGGAGTTAGATATAAGTAAGCTTAGAGGCAAGTACGGGTAGGGAATTAGGCTGGGGTACCGCGTAGGTACTGGGACGGGTAGGTAAAAGACCACAACGGTCATATACCATCTGGCACCACCCAATTACAGAGAATAATGATGGGATTTGATTTGTTTTTGTACGATCGATGCATCTACATGCCATTCGATTTTGATTGGATGTTGAGCAAAATAGTTTCAACCGGTTTCTCGTTATCGGAATGGAAATGTCAAAATTTGCGTTTTTTTTCAATAAACCGAAAAATGGGAATTGTTCGGGAAGTTGTTTGTTCGACCCGTAATGGGTCACATCCACTCCAGTTCATACGCAATGGGAACGAGCGAAGTGAGCGACCAATAATCCAGTCGAATTTTTAATCTCAAGTTTCCGTCTTAAATAATTAATTTTTCATTACTAAACTTTCGTTATTCTAAACTAAATGTTCGTTAATTAATAATTAATTGTCGAGAGTTGAAGATTTCAAACGTTGTAAAATCACTAGTGACGTCACAAGCATGGTCGAACGCTGGACCAATTAGAGAATGGCTGGAGTCACCCTAACGCAATCTTCACGTGCATCTTATCCAATGGATGACGACCACTCCCCTCTCTCCTCACATTCGACCAATCGAGCACGAACCAGCATTACTTATGTCACTTTATGACGTCATGACCGAAATACTAGGTTTCAAAAACACCTGATTTTAAATCAATTATTATGAAATATACAGGCAATATTTCCCCATAATTATTTTTGTTTGAAAAAACGAAAGAAATTGAATCTTGGAATTATTTTCGTTTGGAAAAACAAAAAAAATGGAATTGTGGAATTATTTTCGTTTGGAAAACTGAGGTCCATACAAGTTCCCTATTGAGAATAATTGGGGGTTTCCTCTGTCATTTGAAGACAAACATTTCTGTGGAGGCATGACGCGACACAACGGTGGGAATTCATTTTTTGAAAATAATCTATGCACTTCCTCATTGTAATGCTTGATAAAAATATCAATGATAGTTGACAATGGCTATTTTTACTTTGACGCGACTGCTGGGACTCTGTACGCGAATCTATCGCAGTCTGTTTGCTTCGGTCGTTGTCTCCTCAAGGACAAGACCCACATTTCTGATTGTATCGTTTATATTTTTTTTTTAGTTTGGGGGAAATACATGCAGATATTTTTCGCGGTGGGACGAGGTCGATTGTTCCGTGGAGAGCGACAGAATGAAAAACAGTTTAGCTGGCTGTTGGATATTTGTTGAAGTTTAACTGCTACTTGGGGATTTTTAATGTTTCAGAGAATTGAGTTTCAATTTGCTTCAAGGATAAGAGAATCTCGAAATTCGGTGGGAAAATTGAACATCGGAGGGATTGTATTGAATTCTGAATGACTTTCAAAGCTCAAGGCAACGGAGGCAATCATTTTTCTGTGTTTTCATCATCACATTCGATTGAAAGACTATTTTTCACTGGAGTTTCAGGACACTGACTGATGGTTTAATCATTAACCGTATTGAAAGGGTGATATTCAATTTTGTAACTCCGAATTGTATTCAATGCTCTGGAATAGTTAATTAATATCTGATTCGTGTTGGGAACGAATTTGGAAAGTTTAGGGATAATTTGAGTTTGAAATTCATTGGAAAAATTCGTTATTGAAGAAGTGAACGGAATCGAGTTGAGTCCAGATTTCTTGAAGGGAACTCTCCAATAGTTTTTCTGTCGCCCTCAGATTCCGAGATATCTTGCAAAAACCCATGATAAATCGATTGTGAAATTGAACTGAACTGTTCTATCTCTTCGCTATTAAATTCAATGGCGCGTTGGCCTGAAATCTGAATATTTTCGAAGTTCAAGCCAATAGTCGCCAAAGTTTCATCATTTTTTCCGTCTCGCCATTATCACATCCAAATAAAACGAAAATTAACATTTCATTCTTCATTGGAGTGTCACCAAAATAAAATAGTTCTTCCTTCTAGAAGGGATTAGAAAAATATTCTGTGATAATTTTACTGTCAATCTGAAGTTCTTTAATATCTTGCATAAAACCATGATAAATCAAAATAAACTTGAACTGTTTTACCTCTTCGCTATTGAATTCAACGTCGTATTGGCCTGAAATCTGAAAATCTTCGAAATTCAAGCCAATAGTCGCCAAAGTTTCATCATTTTTTTCCGTCTTACCATTATCATATCCGAATAAAACGAGAATTAACATTTCATTCTTCACTGGAGTTTCACCAAAATAAAATACTAATTTCCTCAATTTTTAAAAAATTGAGGAAATTTTAAGATTCATTAAGATCATTCGAGGGATTAGAAAAATATTCTATGATAATTTTGCTGTCAACCTGAGATTCTTTGGTATCTTGCAAAAACAAATAGAATTTTAACGAGAAGTCCCTAGAATTTTAATAGCATCCTCATTTCTAGCGAATTCCAATAGAATTTTCGAGCGAATTCGCTAAGGTTTTCTATTGAATTTTTTCGGACGTGTTTACATGCTGCATCGAATCAAAATCAACATTTCCTTAAAAATAACCCGTTGTTTAGTAACAAAATCCATTGCAATTCTATTCATATAAGTTAATTGTTATTTTTAATTCAATTGAAATTTCAAGAATTGGGAAGTGATATTAAAACTTTGTACACAAAGGTTGTTTCCACTATGTCGTGGAATTACGTATCAGAATTCCGGCCTTGAATCTCACCTCAAGGCCCAGTCACAATTGATTGAATAATACAGATCGTGATAATGGAGGGATAAGGAATAATTAATAATTACGCAATGTCTGGAATGAGGAAAGAAACCAAAGGTGACGATTATTTCAGGATGTAGAGCGAGTTAATTTATGAGTGTTGCGGGGTTCTGCGGTGTTTGACATGCAATTTCGCAATGATGTTTGAAGAACGCTCTCAAACGTCAATTGTCACTGTGGTGACAAAATATTTAGCTGGGCTCCGGGATTATTTGGAGCGACAGATGATAATTGTCGAGTTTCAACTCATCCAGGGCCTGGCTAAGGTTTCGCGTAATAGGATCACAATTATAGGTGGGGGAGGAGTGACTCACTGGGGACACGTGATCCGCTGGTTCTGCCCTTGGATCTTTCGGATGTCAATTTGAGGGCGTCGTAAACTTGAAGAATTGAAAAATTCAGTGGAGTTATCAAGCAATTTTTGGAAAACTCAAACGGCTCGAGAGAAACGATCTTCTAGAAAATTTTAATGAAGCTGAAACTAGTGAAAGATTCGAGGACACTAGAAAGAGTCGAGATGAATCTAGGGGTGTACAAATATTTTTAAATAATGTACAAACTCTTTTGCACTTAAAAAGCATTTGTACATCTGATTATTTGACTCTCCTACACTTAAATATGCCCTAAATTGAATTTTCCGCTGACGAATATTCTGCTAGTTTCAGCTTCATAAAAATTTAACGGATCCTAGGCGGTTGACACCTTTTACCTGAAATTTCCGGTACACTTCTTGGAAATTGTTCTCATATTATAGTTTCACGGAAATCGCAAGGAATTTCGTCATCACAATTTCAAAATTGCGAGGAAAAAACAGTCGAAACTGTGAATGTTAGTTGAATAAATTCATGAAAAATGATAGAAATTAAACAAATTCAGATAAATATATTCTTAAATGTTCGATTAATTGAGAATTCAGAGTAATTTAGCACTGAACAATCACGATGTGACTAAAAATTCAAACAAGTTGGGAATTCTCATCGTTCTGTTGCTCACAAATTTTAATTCTGAAATTTCGTGATTTTATTATTCTCCCCCTAAACCGAATGCACCGTTATTTCTGAAAATCTCCTGTCACCGGTTCAAACAGAATTTTTTATTCGGCAAATTCTTTAATTAAAATCCTGTAAAGTGTTTAACATTAGTAATTGAACACCACAGCCCTCAAGTCTCATCCAAGCCTTTTTGCAATAATTTTATTTCAACTTTCAGGATTATAATTGGATTCGAAGGCCAAATTGGCCAAACATAAAATCTATTAAATAAATCCGAAAATTGCAATTGCTGAAGATTACAAAGTTTTTCATAGGGTTGAGCCCTATTTTTCATCACTTTACACACAAGTGATGAAAGATTGCTTATATTCATTATTCATATTAATTATTAATTATTCATAATTAATTATTTATA